TTACGAAGTCCAGAGCGTATCGAATTCCGGCCTCTAGCAATTTCTTACTTAACAGCATTGAGTTCAGAGAGGGGTCAACGGTGGGCTTCTCCTTCTCAACTTCCATCTAGACTCATGACCGGCGAGCTCTTTACCCTCCGGCTGGTCCTTCGTCCACTGCAACCTATATCATGAGGATTCATGAGCATTTGGCCACAACAGCAGACCCAAAACCATACGAAGAGCGATACCAACGTATCAAAACCTCTGTTTACTATCAGATGATACTGGCACAAACCACAGAGCAATTGAAAACACTATACATCGTACTTGCACTGGATACAGTCAGTGCCAAGACGAGGCTGTCGGCCCCCTGCATGACTTTGTCTGCTTCACCAAGCGGCCAAGGTCACGAATGAGTTCGGATACGGCTATCTAGTCCTGATATATCCCCGCCGTGATGGAATTTGGTGGATTTGTCTCACCGCAACAGTCGCTCTTCTCCTTACCATTTGGCCGGAATAACTTCCGGCCAAGGGGCATATAAGCAACTTGCCCTTCCCGCAGAAATGAGAAGATGTGTCGTGTGTGTATGTGGACTGCAGGCTCTCCTGTCACGCTTTTCTCCGCCTCTCAGCTATTATACTGCTCACTTGGGCTGCTCTGGCAAGGCTACACCATCTATTCAATCCCTTCAATACTCTACCAAAGAGGTCTCTCATCATGACTTACCTTAACGACTCACCACCTCTTCCTCCTCTTGCAGCTCTCTTTCCTCACATCCGTTCTGACGCTGGAAGCCTCCCACGCTCTGCAGACCCATTCACTGTGACTACCGGTACTGGATTCCTCCCTTGCCGATCACCCTTGCTTCGCCTACCCGCACAATTCGATGCCCTGTCAGACATTCTCGACGACATGCCAATCGTCAAAGCAGACAAGTCACCAGGGCTGCTGGCCACGTTCAAGGTCGGCCCTCTTATCGACTCGGGTGCCTTACCAGACTTGACCTCTTGCGTGGACGACTTGCGGACCAGCACCGGTGAAGTCGACCTCGAAGCCATAACTGCCGTGTTCAGGGACTATAGCTTTCTGGCAAGCGCGTATCTGTTGGAGCCCTGTTGGGAGACATGGTCGAAAGACCACGAGGCTGGGTATGGGTTGGGCAGAGCTGTCCTGCCAGCATGCATAGCCTCGCCGCTCGTGAAAGTCGCAGACATGTAAGTATCACTGCCAGCAATGTGCTCTAGCCTACCGACTTGTACTTACCCCTCCTTCTCATTTAGTCTTGATATCCCGCCGTTCATGTCCTACGCTGCGTCATATGCACTATATAACTACTCCCTTGCCAATCCCAACCTCGGTGCCAGTGTATATGACAATCTCCGCCTCATCCGTGCATTTGAACGCGGCCTCGACCCGTCAAGCTCAGAAGCGGGCTTTATCCTGACCCACATCCACATGGTTCAAGAGACAGGGCCCTTGATTTCTGGCGCGATCGATTTGCTCTGGACCATAGAAAACTCCCCCAATGAGGTACCTCTGGCGATCTCTGCGTTCCAAACCATGCTCTCGGCCATGAGTCGCATCGAATCTCACATGGAACAAATGTGGACTCACTCCCTGCCCAAGGACTATCTCTCGTACCGCACATTCATCTTTGGAATCACGTCGCAGTCCATGTTCCCCAACGGGGTGATCTACCAAGGAACCCACTACGGAGACTCCAAACCTCTGTATTTCCGCGGCGAATCCGGCGCCAACGACAGCATCATTCCACTACTAGATCATCTGCTGGAGATTCCAATGCCCAGCAACCCGCTTACAGAGATCCTCAGGGATTTCAGAAGTTACCGACCCAAGACACACCGAGAATTTCTGGCGTGGGTCATGAGTAAAAGTGCCGAGGTGGGTGTGAGGCAGTACTGCACCCATCGGGGCTCAGGCCAGAACAACATGGGCACCGACGCCCTGCTGTTGCCGACCCTCTACCTCAAATTGCTAGAGCACGTGCGCAGCTTCCGCTGGCGCCACTGGCTGTTTGCGAGGGAGTACATCATCAAGCGCTCCTCGCACCCGACCGCCACGGGAGGCTCTCCTATTGTCACGTGGTTGCCGAATCAGTTGTTTGCCGTCATGGACATGATGGAGGAGGTTTACGCTAAAAGCGGACTGAGGAAGGTGGTCGATCAGGGGGTGGAAGAAACGCCAGAGTCAAAATTGGTCAGGGAGATGATGGAGAATGTGTCCACCCAGAGGGACAAGCTGGACAAGGAGGTCAAGAAGTATTGTGCAGAAAGGGGCGCTTGAGGTGAGGAAGCGTGGATATCTTGCGTCGGCTCAAGCGTTTAACAAAGTTATGAACTTGGGGAGAGGGAGGTTCCGCGTCACCACCACAAACAGGAAGGGCACTGTGAGTGACGACCACGACAGTGACTCGAGAGGCCGCTGTGAGTCCATAGCAGCAAAGAAGACACAAAACCTCGTGACCCCCAAACCAAAATGCATAATAACAATCTTGACAGTGAATCACTCCGTGACAACACTTGTTCTCGGCGCCGAGTCTTGCCGAGCCTTGCCGAGCCTTGCCGAGCCTTTCCGCCCGGTTTTTTATTTTTCCGCCCCACTCCACTTCACGGGTAGAGGGTGCTAGTGATGGTCAACCCCGTGTGGTTCACAGCCTTGTCACAGATTTAACGCTGGGATTGGTGATACGGCTTCGGATATATCGGCTTTCGTGCCAAGGAGACACATGAATCTGGAGATAGGACGAACGTCGGTGACATGAATCCGTTAATACTCGCTCGGCCTTCCTGCCTTGTTCCTCCCCCAGGGGGTTATAAATATCTGTGAGTCTGCTCGACAAATCGAACTTTCTTTCCTGGTCATCATATCAACATCAACATCTGCATGACCATGATCGTTGTCAAGATGATGCCCAACATGAGCATCCATAAGACCCTTGTGCCTGTCCATACCTAGACAATGGGATGTCAGTCTTGTGCAGACATCCAGGACACACACCATCCTCCCAAGCACAGCAATGACAGTCCCTGGGCCTGGGGCTTCCAGCTCTTATTTACAACAAGTCTCACAGCAACAGCTTCCGTCTTCGTGCATGACAATCCATTCACGGTCTTTGTCTTGATATATCGGGACAAAGACAGGCCCACCACGATTGGTATGCACTCCTGCACCTGCAAGATGTGACTTGTTCCTTGCTTGGACCGATTTGAGGCCAGAGACCTCGGAATCCAGGAGCCCATGTCAACGGTTCCGCCTCAAGCTCTGTATGTTGGTCCGTGGCAAGAGTGTTTGCCTGCAAGTGTTGTGTCGACTTTGACACTCCGATCTGCTGATTTTGCTGACCATCCAGTCTTAAGGAACCCGAAGAAGAAGCCATTCAAGGTCACTCACGAACAGACCTACCTTCTTCCCAGGGCCCGACTCACTTCGATCGTCCAAGTGGATTGACACAATGTCCTGACACACCTCTACCCCATCCTCCAGGGTGTATATATATACATTATCTTTGGGCGCACGACCACCCATGGCGCCGGGTTTGTCTCCCTCTGGTTAGTCACAATGACAACCGCTGATTTCCTCTCAGGTTGCGGCAGTGCTGCTCCTCGCCGAACGGCGGCTCGCTGTACTTTTCAAGAGGCAACGTCCTGCTTGCATATGAGTCCGCCACGGCTCCTGTACTGGTCGGCGCAGCGAGACACCATCGTTGCGCCTGCACAGTGTGGTGATGTAACCCGTGCTGTGGCACCGTGCGGATCCAGGACGGGTACCTGCAGCGAGCAGCATGGAGCACGGCACCGATTTCCAGCAAGGCAGATCCTGTCGCCGCCCATCCAGAATCGACAATCAAAGGGGCCTGCGCTCGCTCTGTCTGGCTCGGGTCTTGACGCGGAAGCCACCAAATGGTGCGCGGTGCCTCAAGCAACCCACGGGTCCTGTGCTGGTTGCGAGTACTATTATATATAAAAATCAATGGTGGCCAAGTCGAGTTCCGGTCAGCGTGAGTTTGTATCCTTGCTGGCAAGAAGCCCAAAGTCACGGACCTTTGCTGACCGCCGTTACACAGGAACAACGTCAAGTCCTCTCCGTCTTCAGGCGCGGCCGCTCTGAATTGGGGCCTCTTTATATTGCGGCCGGGGTGGACGGTTCAGAGTGTTTGTTACTGTAAGCTTGACAACACCATCACCTGCCAGGGACAAAGCGACCTTACTGAGTTGTTCAACAGAGCTGGCGTTGAGTGGACGTACTCCGCCTCCTAGTGGCAAACATCGCGAATTGTTGCCTCTTTATATCGTCCCGGCCGCGGGGTGGGCGATTCAAGCGTCTGGCTCCGTAAGTGCCTGGATCAATTGCTTCAAGATGGAAATGAAACTGACGATTCCGCAGTCCTGGCGTTGAGTAGAGCATACTCCGCCGTGTCGAGCCAGCCTTGAATCGTCACCTCTTTATATTCCCACCCTGTGGTGGCCTGCCCACGTGAGGAACTCGGTCAGTACAGATCCTATCACCTCAGTTAAGATGCTCGACTGACCACTCCCTAGGACTGCTGTTGAGGACATACTCCGCCTGTCGCGTTCGGCCCTTTCGCACTGCTGCCTCTGACAAAGAATGCTGGACCAGGATGCAGCTCGGGTATGTGTTCCAGCAAGAACCTCAGCGGTCTTGCTCACGAATATGCTCGCTGACTCTGTCCTAGATATTCGGGTGCAGCCAGGCGCGGTGGCTAGCTCCGTCGCGGTCAAGGCAATGTCGCGCTCTGTGTGAATGTCGACGGTGAAGAGCAAAATTGGTTGCTGGAGACTTTGCTTGGTGACATGGATTCACACAATGTCCCATCACGAAGAAACCATCACTTGGTTTCAACCTTGGTCTTCCATCCAACTGCCTCTCTCCTACTGCCTCTCTCTCTTTTCCCTTTCTGCCAGCGCGAACAAAGCGCCAACGACAAAAGCAACAGCCCCCCACAGTATCTCCTCCGGCACACGACACGGGCGAGCATGGAAAGACAACTCAGAGAGTACACGGAGCGTGAGCTTGAGGTAGCACAGATCCTGGCCACCTTCCACTTGACGGCAAGGGAAGTGGTTCCAGGTGTGGAAATCGTCTACTACCCAGCAGGGGTTCAGCGTCCTCAGCAAGCCAACATGACCGTACAGCAACAGCCGCGGCCTTCGCTGCCGACGCCGGCCTGGGGAGCAAGAGCAGAAGCAGGAGCAGGAGCGGCAGCAACATCGGCGCCAGGAGCAGCAGTCCCACTGAGAACGACAACGAAGACGACAACGAACCCAGCGCTGCACAGAGGCAGCCAACCTCCCCCTACCCCTCAGCCTCAACCTCGCCCTACCACCGGTACTGGCACTGGTACATTCATTTGCCCTTCTGCGCCTCTCCTTCCTGGCACCCCGTCAGCGCACCAGTCGCATGCACCAACGGCGGGGACTCACCAGGCCGCGATCCCAAACAATCACGCGCCGCCGCTACCACCGACACAGTCACCGGCGCAGAGACCTGCACCATACCGATACAGCTGCTACGCGTGCCAACATGTCTCGCAGAGGGTCGGGTGCGTGGTGAATCACATGGTCAATCGGCACGGCGTGGACCGGGCTCAGGTGGACAGAGCCAGGATTGAGGCTTCAAGAGTACAGATGCTGTGGTGAGCATGCATGGACGGGGCCAAACCTTGGTTGGACAAGGGTAGGGAGTAAGCCAAGCAGATGATGGGGTCGGTGCGTGTGCGTGCATTGCATTGCATGGAGAGAAAAATTAGCACAGCAGGAGTGGAGGCGACGAGCTCTCTCATGGCCGACTCTCCCTGTGGACCGCAAGCCACACCGGGAATCTACCGCACAAAACAGCCACCTAAACAAGATCACTATAGGCCCTGAATATTGACTTGGATTTTTTCTGGTATTCTCTTTTGTCTGACTCTGTCGCTTGCTATGCTTTTTTCCCCCCTCTTTCTACCTTTCACCCATGCACGCACGATCCGGAAACACAACGAATTCCATTAAAAGTGTTGTTGCCCACTCTGACACTATTAGTAATCTTGACCGCGGTCGCCTACTTCGGCCATGCCGCAGACAAGATCTGCAAGCTCCTTCTGGAACTTGTCGTGCAGATAGGCCGCAGTGAGATCAAGACCGTTTGTGATGGCACCTAGAAAAACGAAAAAAGTAAGCAGATGCGCTTTATAGATGGGAAGGAGGAGTGCCTCGAGGACAGCAGACGCCTACCGGACGACCAAATCCTTCCATCTCTCTCCCATCTCCGCGCCACAAAGTTCCCCGCAGGGAATACCTCCTTCAGCTTCCCCAATAGAGCTCTCGGACCAGTGACTGTCTTGCCGTCCAAAAGCCCTGCGAACCCGGCTGGAAAACTCCCCGTGCAGATGATCAGGATGTCGGTCTTGTCGGCTGCTTTGTGCGCGCGGAGGAAAACCAAGACATCTTCACCCGGAACCGTGCGTGGGTCTGGACCCGGGATGAGGAGAGCATCGAGTTGGCCCGGCTGCACAGCTGGCGACGACAGAGAGTCCGTCACAGGCAGCGTGGCCGAGGCCGTCAAGGCCATGTAAGTGCCTGCCCCTGTCGCACTGATGTAATGGATCTCGACTGGAACGCCCATGTCGACGAGTGCTTTGGGGAGGCCGCATGCCTGGAGGTATTCAGGGGTGATCATGCCGAAGAGGTCAATGGCTGAAGCATCGAGAAGTTGGACTGATGGTAGCAGAAGGACACCCACGCGGAAGAGGGTTTTATTTGGTGTCGTGGAAGTCATTGTGGGTTGGCAAACAAGAGAATTTCGACTTGGCTTGTCGTTGTCAAGGTTATTGCTTTGCTGATGAGTGTTTTGTCTCTTGCGAACAGCCAGAGAAGTCGACTGTCGCGAGGTATAAGTACCTTCTCGCCATAGAGTAAAGCATCGTTTCCCAAAAAAACTGCTGCCTGATTTTTGCTCAAGACCAAGATGAAGTTCTCCTAGAAGATGAGATTGTTTACCAAAATAATGCCTTAGTATGGGCCTTTCTGTGAGCATGGAATGTTCTGATCGGCAAAGTCTTCGAATGGTTCGTGTTTGGGATCATCCAGAGGGTCGACCGGGCCAGAGTGAGGCCGAAGCCTCGTGGATGGATATATCAAGTTGGCCGCACTTGGAAATTCTCCTGATCTGGTTAGACTGGAAATAGGCGAATGGGACGAACTCGTTCCGGCCCCCAAGGCAACTCCGACGCCTCAGGATTCTTCCGGCCTTGGAACTTGGCCGAGGACATTCGACGAACATACAAGTACGGGGTACCTCGTACCGGGTAATGAGGAGCGGTTCGCTATCTACCTACATGTCTTTCTAGAGGCGTCGCTCGCCACACGGCAGATGCCCTTTCTCCCTCTACCTTGTAGGCTTGCGGCCAAGGCTTCGGAGCTCCTGGCAAGCTGCCTTAGCTGCCGCTCGGGTTCAGCCTCCCTGGGGACCGGACTCGCCAGCTTTTGACATAAAGATAAAGGGGGAGGCAGCCAGCTTTCACAAACCAGGCTTGGCCAACCTTGGCTGAGTTGAGGACTTTTGAGATGGAGTGCCTCTCATCAACGTACAACGGCGGGAAGGAGCCCCTGAGGAGGTTGGAGGTTGGGAAGTTGTTTCCAACGTTTGTCGCCCATCGGACTTTTCCAGTTTTTAAAGTTGTTCCCTATCCGGCGCCTTACCGAGTGTGGTCTAGCCATCTCCATATAAATAGAGGCTAGCGCCATCTTTCCAGCTCCACCCCCGAATGGGCAAAACGGTGAAAGAAAGGCCTGCCACCATCTTTTTTCCCATTCTCCCCCAACCCAATCCACTTATCCAACATCCAAACGTCTTGTCGTCGACAATACGCGTGCGCGCCACCGGGTTTTTTTTAATTGTCTACTCTCCTACTATCGTATTCGTTTGGCCCTAACGGTCACCGCGTACAATTAAAACTTATTCTCGCCTCGCCGTTTTCATTCTTCTTCCTTTTCACCTCTCTTAGGTAATACTATGTCCCCGTTCATCAGTATGCGGCGCTTTTCTCGATCCGGGTCTGTCCACAATTCGCAACCCTCAGCCTCGACCTCCCATCAATCGGCACCTCCCACCTCGTACACGCCTCCTCTCTCACACGCACCCATGATGCCAAACGGCACGGCGGGCTCTCTGCACGACTCGAGACCCGTGTCGGCAAAGACCAGCTCGAGCTTCGACTTTGCAAATCGCCCCCCGACCAACTACCAGATGACGGCCCTGCCGCACAGCGCCATCGGCAATCTCTCGCGCACCGACCAGATCGTGTTGCGACACTTTTGGGACATCAAGTACGACGAGAACAAGTCTCGAGACCTCCATTTCGTAAGTTACTCTAAATCTCGGCGAGAAATAGTGACAATCAACTGACTTTGTGCTTCCCATTTTTTTCCGGGGCGGTAAACAGCTCAAATTCCCCTTCTTCCCACAATATCCGACTCATCAGGATTTGATTCCCTACTGTGAGATTTACCACTTGGTCAAGACTTCACCGGGCGCGAAGATCATCAGTCTTGGCAGCGCCAACGGCGTCTACATTGGGTAAGTGATTGGAATTTCCTTTTGAGAGGAGCCCAAACTCTGTCGCCACGTTGGGATTTGCGTGCACGCGACTCGGACATCTGACGCAGACCATCTACTGTATTGTGATGCAATCTCCGTCTAACTATCGTCGATAACCCAGGTTCGAGCTCTTCTCAGGCTCCCAACTCCACATCGACATGGACGACAGCTGGCAGAACATTTCGCACCACCGCGTCTCCTTCAAAAAGTACGACAAGATGCTCAAAGACCCCGCGTCAGACGCGACCTTCAAGTCCTGGCCAAAGCCCCTGACCATTGAATTCCTCGAGGAGCAGTATCAGCGCTGGGTGCTCGACCTGACCAGTCTCTGCTGGGAAACCGCCGAGGTTAGAGAGCTCGGCGGTGGCGGCGGCAGTGGTGGTGGTGGTGGCGGCGGCAGTGGTGGTGGTGGTGGAGCCGGTGCGAGCGCGGGTGATGGCCTGGAGGGGAGCATCGACGGTGACTTGAAAGACGACATGTTGTAGGTCCTGTGTGTCGTGTGAGGGTGATTAAGACGATCGACCATCAAGATCATGGAGACGTGAGGCCCTTCCAGAGGGTGAGGCCTTTGGTTGCGAAAAAAAGTCAGTGTTGCGGGGGCGGCCAAGGGCGCGGGCGCGCCCTACTTCTACTCTGGACTGTCGCAGATTTCTACAATCAAGCGCGGCCTGGCCTGTGTACAAACAAGTACAGGCGTGGGCGGCCGCGACAACGACGACAATAACAAGTCACAAATCACAAGAGCATACCACAGCACCACACCTCGCAACAGCGGCAACAACAGCCAGTCCACAAAAGTAATCAGAAAAAAGAAAGTTTTTAACTCGCCATGAGATGAAATGGGAAGGAAAGCTACTTGAAACTTGACACGAATACACACACACACACACACACACACACACACGAGGGAAAACACGGTGGAACGGCCTCTTGTTTTTTTTGCTGCTTGTTATTTTCACATTGTCCTTTCAATAATGTGATGGGTTGGACTGGGTTGGGATGGGATAGGATGAGCTGGGACAGTGCTAGATAATTGACGACTTGGAATGACACCGAAAACTTGAAATGATACGAAATACAATCAACTCGACGGAATTCCTGGAATTCCTTTGTAGAGCTGGGATAGCCTCTCCCTGCTACCTACTACTACTACTACCTTGAACTTCGTGGACACACACTGGGTACACACCTCGTCCTGTTCAAGACTTGTCCCGGACAGGTGCTTACATGTGTGATTTCTTGCGTGTGTAAAATTTTCTTCTTCGGGACAGGTTTGAACGTATTATAAACCACACCTGCCTGCCTGCCTGCTAATGAGATTTCACCGTCCTTTTCTTTGTATCGCGGTATTTCCACGTCTGCTCGCCGTAAATGTGTGCGCGGGTGTGTGAGTGTGCGTAGCACAGGCAAATGTGCCGGTGGTCGGTCTTGCAAGGTATGACTGCAAGCTGCTGGCTGTCGGCTAGCGCTTGGCGATATACCGTCGAGGCCAGACAGCTTACTTTGATTCTGCGGTCTGCCGCGTGTCTTGTACCATGAGATGCAGCGAGCTGACGGATGTCTCTCTGCTGAGGAAATGGACTGTCAGAATCTGTGGCACACGCTCATAGCCTAAGTAATTTGCATACTGAGGCATGTTCAGCTCATCGTTGCATCCCGTCTGCCTTCAGTCCAGTCCAGCCCAGAATTTCGACCGGATCGCGCTTCATATCTAGTTGATTCCTACACATTCCAACCCGTTACCCGTCTCCAAAAATGCAAGCCAGTGAGCCCACGGTCAGTCAGTGTAGTGCAGCCATCGCTTCTGGGTACTGGCTTGTGCGGTACGAGAATGGCAGGTATCTGACGGAAATGGTGGACGAACCTTTGTCTTGTAAAATCCATCGAAGAATTTGAAACAGCGTCATTTGATAGTCGTAGCCATGAATCGCCGAGTATTTATTGAATTCTTCCGGTCAAACGTGCCTGATAGGCCCGCTACACGTGTAGCTCTACCTCCCGTCGTTTTGGGCAGGAATTCAATGTTCCCTGAGTCTGTACCCTGTACCAAAGGCAACTT